GGTTCTCTTTCAGAACAGCGCTCACTTTATTTTTTGATCAGCAGTACTTTTGGAGAAAAGCTGCTGTCATCATTTATTCATCACACACACTGTAGAGAAGGATTTGAGCCATTATCCAGGAGAAGCATGGGATTCCTCCTCATGTTTAATAGATGGTTAGCTTCTGTTTTTGTTCCACGTTTCTGTTCATTTTTTATCGTCTGCGCTCTCTGCATTTTGGTCTGCAGTCTGCGTCTCCTCGCTCTTAAGAAGAGCCCATTCATGTATTTATTGTTTGTTGGCCATTACCGTGGAGACACTGAGTGACGGGTGATGATCGATGGCGGAGTAAATGCCTCTCTCTGGCTCCAGGCTACCTCAAATTAAAACCGGGCTGGCTGCAAACACGTCAGCCAAGTGGCCTTGAGTGACACATGAGGACTCCCAGAGGAAAGTGACCACAGAGCGAAGAAGCATGGAAGAGAGAGGACAACAGCAGGACAGGGAATTAAAGTGACTCAAACACAGACAACTCAGACAACAGGAACTGTTTTTCGAGTAGTGAAGGAAAAGGTGAAGTAGAGCTTGATGGGGAGTTAAGTGCTCCAGGAGTGCTGGTGGGTTCACAGTGAGAGTGGAATGTCATGGGAGGATATAAAAAGGTTGGTTGTCTGTGAGGAACGAGAGAGGTTTAAGCACAGTGATAAATAAAAGAGCTGGAATGAAATGTGGCATGTTTGAGGGAGAGGAGAGACAAAGGTTTACACTCAGTGCCTCAAATAGAATCAGATCTAATGCTGTTCAGGAACTTTGATCGTGGTGAGATTTGCTCATCACCTTTGCAACCAGTGCTCCCTCAACAAGTGTCAGTCAGTGTTAAATAGGCAGAGCTCCAAGCACCTTGCAGATTCTTCTCTCCACATTCCTCACATTCTTACTTTCTACAGTGTCCGCACACTTGTTGAATCAGACCCACTGTCCCTGTGCTGTCAGCGACGGAGACGGTGCTCTCAGAGGCGGGGGTGCAGCTGAGATCTGGATACATTTCTGAACAAAAGGCCAGTCTTCAAATGGCTCTGAGATTAGTCTAATGCAAGTCCGACGGTTTCACAAAAATAATGCCGGACTTATTTTAAGCCTAAACCCTGCCCCCAGCTCTGAACTGAGAGATTGGATTTAGATTTCAGATTAGATTTAAACTTGATTGTCCCACAGGGAGATTTGTTTTCACAGCCAGTTCAACATAGAAATGCACAGATATAAAACAGCCACGTTGCCATGGTAACAGCCATTGACACCTGCTGATGAGCCTGCCTTCGAAGGCTGCTGATCAATTTATGGCTGCATTATCAGATAAAATGAACACAAATACGATCAGTGACAGCAGCTGTGCTGTTAGATCGGCTTTATTGACTTTTAAAATGAATGATCACAGAGATGGTTAGAGCCAACAACCCCCAGATAGATTGGCAGAGCATTGGATACATGTATCCATGGTGCCCAGATGATGCATCCTGCTGACCTTTCCACTACTGCTACCATCAGGTTGACTTTTTAGTTTATTGAAATTATGCGTGCACTATATGAGTAAAATCTGTGATGTGCAATAACAATGTTAAATATTGCGATAGATACACTGTGTGTGCAGCTATACAGTTCCTATGTCAGCCTGGTTGTCTTTCGCTTGATCTCGCTGTACATAAAATATCAATAAAATAAAACATAAACTGAGTGCAGTTTAGAGTTTTAGTCATCCATCTTGTCCTCTATCCTCCTCTCATGTGACTCTCTCCCAGCAGGTAGAGAGGGGCACTTACTTCCAGTGACGAGTTCGTCGTTGTCAACTCAAGTCATTTTTGACTTAACTTCACTTTGTTCACTCAAGTGTCTCCACTGCCGACTCTCTAATCAGCCATTTTCGCTGCGCTTGTGTATGTGTGTGTATGTGGAGGAGCTCAGCACCGACAGAGAGAGAGCCGCTCTTTAGCTCCAGGGCACATTTAATACCGCATTACCATACTCATCCCTACATAAAATGATTTTTCTTATTCATTGCGTCTCTTGTGATGTGTTCATGTTCAGATCCATGTGATATATTGGTCAGCCCTATCGGATGGTTCGCTGTTCAATGTGGTACACACATTCATGGCCCCCAGATGATGAATTGTATTAACTAACTAATCTAGGGATGTCACAATACAAGAAATTTAGGAGTCGACTAAATCCGACCAATACCAGTGAAATTCCATGATCATCGAGACAAATAAAACAACGACAATGGTTTTCTATGTACTCCAACAACAGTGACATGTAAATGAAAAGAAACAACTAATCAGCATACTTTTTTCTGCTTGCTTGTTGTCTCAATCTCAGCGCTCCATGAAGCTGGGCCAACTAAACCAAACTGCAGGTGCAGAAGGGATGTAACACTCACATTGTCATCTACAGGCAACAGTTCACCTAATAAGCATTTTCTTGTGGTAGGAAACTGAAACGTAGCGGAAACCCACACAGATATTGTGAGAACACACAGGAACAACGTCCACACAGGAAGGGTGGGGCGGTGCTCTGAGGTGACGATGCTATCCACTGAGCCACTGTGCTACTTTAAATAAAATTGAATATGAAATTACCCTCTGTATGAGAAGATACTCCATATTGAAGGATTTGGATCAGCAAGGGGGCAATGAGAGGTCTTATCAGTACATCCGTTGCTTTTGCTGTATTGCCAAGCATTACTGCTTCATTGAATTTACTGAGCAGGCGGTTAATCTGTGATCAGATATGGTTTGCATCCCTGTGGAGTTTTTAGAAAGCCACAGTCCTGCCTCCTTCAGTTGTAAATAGTTTTGTTTTTCATTTGTTCCCTGTGAGCAAGATACTTAGTGTGATTCTGTTTGTATGAATGTAAATGGACAGCATTTATACAGCTTGTTTCTAGTTTACTGGCCACTCAAAGTACTTTTCAAACACATGCCAACATTCACCCATTCACACATGCTGATGGCAGAGGCCCCCACGCAGCGGTTAAACATTCCGGGTCTTGCTCAAAGACACTATCTCTAGAGGATCCAGAGATCGAACCTGGAACCCTCTGATTTCCTGGACGACCGTGCGGAGAACCATGTGACAGAGAGAGAGAGAGAGAGAGAGAGAGAGATGTGTCAGATCTGTCATTTGAGAACTAGAAGCTCTATTATGATGGCCAGCTGCTGGCTGAGTCTATGTCAATATTTGTTACACCTCTACACTGGTTTCTGGTTACTCCAACACACAACCCTTTGGAGACAGGCACGTGGGCACACACCCTCTTCAGTTCAGGCCCAACCACATTCAGAGTACCTGTTCACCCCCCAATCACTGTGGTGCAATAGCTGACTCAATTTGTTTGTGTGCCTTTTTGAGGCAGAACACCATCTTAGCTTATGCCTCCAGGTAGGAGTCGAGCTGTGTCTGTGTGCGCATAATGACGGGTTCACCAACACATGGAGGAGGACAATTTACAGGCTCTACTATATTTAGCTCTGTATTTGGGAGTATGGATGCCTACGTGTGTGTGTGTGTGTGTGTGTGTGTGTGGAAAGTTATACCATTAAAATTCAAGAGAAATGTAACGGTATCGATGTCAAACTGAGTTGTCAGCATTATTGAAAGCCCTCTCAGACAGCCTCCTTTTGTGTTTATAAGATCAAATGTAGGTGGATGGAAAGTTGGAAGCCCATTTTAAGTCCTAAATGCTTATTACTGCAGCCACATTTAGAGTGGGTGTGTGAATTTCCCGTGAGTGTGTTTGTGTGCTACAGTGAGCTCTGTGTGCCAGTGCTGTGTATGCACTTGGTTGTGTTGGGCAGTGAGTTACAAAAGCCCCTTTGTGTAGGTGACTGTGAATGAGCTGGCCTCCAAAAGTTTGGTTGGTCCGGGCAGGCGTTTGTGTGTGTGTTGTGTGTTGTGTGTGTGTGTGTGTGTGTGTGAGAGAGAGAGAGAGAGAGAGAGAGAGAGAGAGAGAGAGTGTGTGTGTGTTTTGCGGATAGTTGACACATATGCCATCAAGGAAGAAGTAAGCAATATGCCTCATCCGGGAGCCTAACCGGTGTATGAATCCTGTGAAGAAATATGACATGTAGATTAATTGCCATACGAACTGTGGTTTCCGAAAAATTGATTTGTCGCACGCCAGTTACTTACTGTTTTTGTCATTTTCTTACTAATAGTCGATTAATTGGCGTCAGATAGGATGTTTTATCGCTTCAACTAATGATCCAAGAGTAGGTATCGTAATCTGGATTTTTTAAACACAAAAATTCCAATGAGTTGACAGGCAGTTTAGTAGTGCAAATAACGTCAGAAAGCAGTGTTCCAGATCTTATTAGTGCAAACCAGAGTTTCACAACACTTAATAGTTTCTAAAGATTGAAAAAACGCCGGAAATCCTGTTTGGTATTTTTGCAGTTGTAGAGGGGATGTTCATTTGTCATCCTTTAAAGAGTCAAAGCTAATTGTTAGTCGAAGGGAACATTGCTGCTTGAACATATCGAGTTTATCATATCCTAACACTATGGAGCTTTTCTGTTGAGGGTATCTTAGTTAACAGACTCTCTATCCATTGAACTATAGTAAGTCCATGTTTCGGTTTTGCCTGCTGAATATTCCTTTGGAGGGATGCCAGAGTCTGCCTGGACCCCAGGCTGCTGGTTTTGAGAGCGGGTAAACTGCCACCCACCCTCTATTATGGAAGGGCTCCCGATTGTGTAAGGCCATGCTCCACAGGTTCCAGTAGGGTTCGAGGGTCAGGATGGATGATGGTGGCCGCACCATTGATTCGTTTCTCCCTGTAATGTCCAAGCAGGCCTAGCCTCAATGGTATGTTGTGGTGCAGCATGCGATGTGCGTAGTCTGTTACATGAAAGATCTATTACTCCGGAAGCAGTGATTCTTCTTTTTATACCACTGGCAGGGAAATGGGCAGTTTAGGAACTTCCACATATTGATTGAGGTCATTTTGACACCTCAGGCACTTTAACCTAGGCCCTCACTTCCCATGATTCCAGCCCAAAACATCCCTCCACCATCTGCCGGCTCGCAGCAGCCTTGACGTGGACATGGGTGCCACCGCGGCAGAACGCCATGCGATCTGGGACGCCAATCCAGGTGTAGGCACGGCATAGCGATCAGTGAATAGGATCAAGAAACTGTTAACCACTTTAATCTTCATGTTTTTGTGGGCACACTGGCGAATCACTGTCTCCTGGTGGGCATTGTTTAAGGGTATGCCGAATTACGCTTTATGGCCATCAGAATGGCTCTGGAGGTTCCTGGCAGACTTCAAATACCTTATTCTACTCATCAGTGGCTTTTTCACAGCTGGCTCAACTTAATTACGATGGAACTAGCCTTACAGGAAAACTTTCTCTAACCACGCCTTAATGATTCTGAGACGAACCAGTCTACGGTCTGAATCACCCACAAATCTTTTCAATGCTTAGGACGTGATCTCTCTATATTTCGTAAAATGTATCAGTGCTTTCATACCTTTTGAAGATATATTGCACGTAATTTTCACGCTTTTCATCTGCAGAAATATATTTTTTCCCCCTCTAATGGCATGAGAACCGTGACTTGCGTTTAATAATGTGGAACAACATCTCTTAAGTAGTTTCCCGATTAATTAGGCATCACCTGGGGCAAACTTAATAAGATCAAAACCTGTCTGGAGATTGATGTCAGTGATCTAAC